GGTGTAAGGCACTCAAAGTCTGTGGACCCCTTATGCCTGTGCCTAGCAAAGGAGCTGTGCTGACCCTGAGTTCCTGGCTTAGGGGAGCCAGTAGCTTATTTGTTCCCTCTCCCAGGCCAGGAGAATGGGTCAGGGCGCCTTTTGGGATGATCTTCTGGCCCAGCGGACTCAGACTTCCAGACCCCAGACTGGTGCAGCGCGGTGAGGGAGGAGGTAAAAGGGAGAGAGGTTTTTCCCAAATCCGGTGCAGAGAGCGGAGGGAGGAGATAAAAGGGAGAGAGGTTTTTCCCAAATGGGCTTTTTTTTTTTTTTTTTTAAATCCCTGCCAAAGGGTGCGTGCATGCACTTATCCTAGCCTCTTGGGAGCTGCTCTTCACTGGTTTGGAGTGTCCAAGCAGAATCTCTGCTGCTGGGTTTCTCTCGATGTGGAAACTGCTTCCCGAGCATGCGCACAGCACAGCTGTTTGCCTGCTTCACCGTGGAATGGCGTGGCTGTGGCTCTGCAGTTTGCCGCCGCTGCTCTAGCCCTCCTTACCTCTTCCAAACGGTCTTCCTCTCCCGTATCACTCAGACGGATTTCTTAACCTTGCTTTGTTCAGGGCTGCCAGATATTCACACAGAATCACATCACTTCTTTTTCCAGGTCTTTGTTGTAAGAGGGATATAGAAAGTATCTAACTACTCTGCCATGTTGACCACGCCTCCCCTGAATTGTACACTTTAAATGGGTGAAATGTATGGTATGTGAACCATATCTCAATAAAGATATTAAAATGGTATCTCAGAAAAAAAAAAGAAATAGAAATTGTCTCAAGACACACCCCACACTAATCCTTCATCATTAACATAACAAAGACAACCCATTCCCAAACGGGATTATAATCACAGGCATAGAGGTTAAGATTTACAACATATATTTTAGGGGGACCCAATTCAATCCATAACAAGGTTGCAATCAAGATGCATTTTGCAGGTAGAGCCAGCAGGACTTGCTGTGGAATTACATTTGAGCTGAGAGATAAACGAGTCAAGGATGACTCCAGGGTGCCTCCCTCAGGGGAGAGGGTTTAGCAACCTGGGGGTTATCAACATATACCAAAAAAAAAAAGCAACCCTTGCCTTTGAGTCACTTCTGACCCATGGCAACCCCATGTGTTACAGATCAGAACTGCTCCACAGGGTTTTCTTGGCTGTAATTTTTATGGAAGCAGTTTGCCAGGCCTTTCTTCTGCAGTACCACTGGGTGGGTTTGAACAACCAACCTTTTGATTATTGCCATGGCACGCCTGCAGGACTTGGGCCTACCACCTTTGATTTTCTTTCCTTTTTCTAACAGTGGCACGGAGCAGTCATGCAAATAGGCCTAAGGTGAGCCAGACTTCCCGGGGATCCAGACAGAGCACTGGGGCACGGTACCGCTGTCCAGAGGAATAGAGCTGAATTGGAGGGAAAGGCGGCTTTTGTCAAGTTCCAGGCTCCAAGCACAGGGTATTTCCATTTAAGGCAGCGAATTTATGGTTTCTGAAACCCATCAGGGAGATTCCGCATAGGTTCCAAACAAGTCCACGGAACGGTCAGAAAGCCTGCTGCAGCTGCTCACCCTCACCTCCATTCACCTGCAGGCCACAATTGCCACGTGCTGCCCGTCCGCATTGCGCATGTCCGCGGGGCGGGGCTCAGAGGAGGAGCGGAGGGGCGGAGAAGAGGAGCGAAGGGGCGGGGCGAGAAGCGGGCAGAGGAGCCGCGGAGAGGAGTGGTAGCGGCGAGGGGGTAGGACGAGCGGAGGAGCGGGGCGAGAAGCCGGGCAGAGGAGCGGAAGGGCGGAAAACGGCGGCAAAGAAGAGAGGAGTGGTGGAGGCGAGGGGGCGGAGCGATCGGAGGGGCGGTGCGCACGGAGCTCCTGGATGGCCGCATAGCGGGAATCCGGTAGAGCATGGCTACCCTGCGAAGGTTGCGGGAGGTGCCGCGGCACTTGCTGGTCTGTGAGAAATCCAACTTCGGTCACGACAAGTCGCGCCACCAGCGCCTCGTGGAGACGCACTACTATAATTACAGGGTAAGCCGGGCAGGCGGGGCCCCTCTCCCTTCGCAGACGAGAGAGGCTCGGGGAGCGTCAGACTCCGTTCGGCGTAGTGAGGCCTCCCGCGGCGCGGCTTCCCTCGCACGGCATTCTGGGAGCTGTAGTCTTAACTGCTCCCGAGCGGGCGCAGTGCAGGCCTCGGAGGACTACAACCCCTAGGGTGCACCGAACGCGGAGGCGGAGCCCGACCTGGAGAGGAGGGGCCTGGCGGCCGCCGAGGCGTGCGCCTCCCGGTCTCCTAGCCCGCCCCAGTGGAGTCGAGGCTCCCGGAGGGTTGTTAAGGGCCCCGGCAGTTGGGAGTTCGGAGGGTGTGACCTCTGTCCTGTGCAGTCGCCCGCCGTCCATGTGCTACTCGCTTTTACACAACAGGGATGCCGGTTCCCCCTCCCCGCCTCTCTCCTGCTTGATTCCTTGTCCCACCAGCGTGTCTGTGGATCATTCCAGACCATTGTGCCTATCCAGGCCCAAGAAGCGACTTGCTTTTATAAACTGCCTATGGGAACCGGGTTGATGACTGAGAGACTTTAAATTCTGTCTGCCGCGCTCGGGTTTCTCCAGCCACAGTGCACCATTTCCGGCAGCTCTTGGGAGAAATTCCCGTGTGGCCTCGCAAGCACATTTTAAGAGCTTCTTATGGGTGGTGACATTGTTGTTTCGCGAAAATGTCATCGTTCCCAGGCGCCATTTCCACAGTTGTGGAGATTGAAGCATCGGTGAGGTTAACTTTTGGCTTACAAGGATCTGCCGAGAGCAGAGAACAACTGAAATTCCCAAACAGTGTCTAGTGGGCCCTTCTCACCAGCCCATTTAAGTGGCGAGGACTCCAAAATGTCAGCCTTATGGTAATAATGTTTAAGCATTTTGCGCTTTAAATTAATCAACCTAATCACAATTTAGGCCTGTCTGGCCAGTTTCTCAGAGACACAGGTGGTGACCCAGGTCCTTCAAGAACAGACTGGCGTTACAGCTTTGGGAGAGAGGTTTTCAAGTTGCGGAGCACTTGAACTTGGCGAGATTTGAAACCTGTAGGGTTTTAGCATCTCTGCTTTGGGTGGAGAGCTCGTCAAGAACAGCAGAGTCTGTTTCAGTTTAGAAACGAAACATCCAGGAGCACTTCTGCTTCCATGTACCGTTGTAATAATTGGATGTCCTTAAATTCTCTGTGGAGCCCTAGTGGCGAAGTGGATAAGAGCTCAGGCTGCTAACCAAAAGGAAGGCAGTTGGAATTCATCAGCCGCTCCTTGGAAATCCTGTGGGGCAGTTCTGCTCTGTCCTATAGGATCACTATGAGTTGGAATCAGCTCGATGGTACACAACAACAGCAAATTCTCTACATCCTAAGGGACCGTTCTTTTGATCTAGGATATTACCAGGGTGAACAAATCCAGGGATATTCACTTGTATTATAGGTCCTTGGATGTTCCTGGGTGGTGCAAACGATTTGCAGTGTACTACGAACCTAAAGGATGGACGTTCAAACCCTCTCAGTGATGCTTCAGAAGAAAGGCCTAGCAATCTGCTTCCGTAAAGATTGCAGCCAAGAAAACTCTATGGAGGTTTTATGCAGTTCTACTCTGTAACACATGGGACTGCCCTTAGTGGGAATTGACTCGATAGCAGCAAGTTATGGATTATATGTCCTTGAAAATGAATTAAAGTAGTAAAAGGAACAGGAGATAAAATATATTGCTCATTTGCAAAAGATAAAAAGTGAGCCCTTTTGTTAAAATTTGTCTGCTCTCTTTCCTGTACTGTGTGTTTGAATGCAGAAATGAAAAACTGTAATTGTCAAATTTCTCTTTCCCCAAGATTGGCAGTTACTTTCAGTGTTTTTTTTTTTTGCCACATTTATGTCCCAAGAATACCTGTGGAGGAATAGTTAGCAGCTTTCAGGATCCATTTCATCTTTGAGAACCTGGATGTTAACCTACATGAAAATAAGACCCTGTTTATATTATACATTCCGATAGGTTTCATTTCTGATTCCTGAATGTGGGATACTATCAAAAGAGCTGAAGAGCCTGGTCATGGGAACTGGACCCTATTACTTTGTGAAGAATTTACCTCTTCATGAATTAATTTCACACGAGTTCATCAACACCTTTGTAAAGAAAGGTAAGGAAAACTGTGTCATGTCTGTGAATCTGGGAAGATGGGGAACTATAGGTAGACCACACCACAGTACTAGTGTTCTTCTCTTGTTTTAATTAAGGCCTGTAGTGATAGTGTGGCCAAGTGCAGGAAACACTCTCCCCAACCCCAGTATTCTCATCCTGCTCTTTTCCTTTAGATGCAAGTTTCTGATTACACTTGTCCACAGTGTTGGATGAGGGTGTTGCAGCATGACGGTGTTGGTCATCGTAATGAAAGAAGGATTAACGGAGAGGAAAGTCTGGCAGTCTGTGTGTTTATATCACTGCTGTTGGGTGTGGCTGGACCGACCACTGTGTCTTGAGCAATCTCAAAGGGCTCTTCTCTGGTCACCACTGCTGCTTTTCACAGAGCCACGTATTCATCGTGACTTAGATTTTGTGGCTGTAACCCTCCTCATCCCATTCCCAGTCATGTCTCCTGGGTTGATTGGCTTGTTCTAATTGTCTCCTAGGAGCCCTGACTGCCATTTGTTTGAAACTGTTTCACAGTGTCTCTAGGGAGTTCCTGCAAATGGCTGCTAACCAGAAGGTTGGAGGTTTGAGTCCACCCAGAGGTACCTTGGAAGAAAAGCCTGGCAATCTGCTTCTGAAAAAATCAGCCATTGGAAAACCTATGGATCTCAGTTCTACTCTGACACACATGGGTTCACCAGGAGTAGGAATTGACATTTTAAGGAGGTCTACCCTGACTACATGTCACCCCGTCACCCCAGTTGAGCTCCCTGTACAGTAGCCCTTACTTCCCATTTTGTCAGCCTCTGTGCTTGTCCTCTCCAGTGAGATGTGAACAAGTCTAGCATGTCTGGTAGCTGCTTTCATTCTGATGCTGCTGGGGCTGCCTAAGAAGCAGGGCATCTTGTCTTCGCTCTCACAGACATTCTTTCATCTGTATTAAACTTTGTTGATGACATAGATGCTTGCTGCTTATAAGGCACTTTTACATATCCTATCACATTTAATCCTTAATTTTACAGATGAGGAAACTAAGGCTTAGAGAGGTGGAGTAGCTTTCTTTTTAAAAAAAATTTAGGTATGTATTTTTAATTTATTTTATTCAGTGTTATTGAGAGTATACACAGCAGAACATATACCAGTTCAGCAATTTCCACATGTACAATTCAGTGATATTGATTACACTCAAGTTATGCAACCATTCTCACCCTCCTTTTCTGAATGATTCCTCCCCCATTAATATAAACTCACTGTTGCCTAAGTTTCAGGTCTGATCTTTCCAGTTGCTTTTGTCAGTTTGATCCCAAATAGATAGTTCTTAAAAGAGCACCATGCTCAAGGTAGACCTTCTTTACTGATGTAGCTAAATTATTGGTTTGGTTTAAAGAAGAAAGACTTCATGGGATATTTTTTATATAAGGTGTGAAGATTATCTCAGGGCATTAGTGTTAGGGGTTCATCCAGCCTCCATGGCTCCAGAAAATCTGGATTCCATGTTAGAATACTGTTCTGCCTTTTTGATCAGGATTCTTCTATAGAATCTGTGATCTAAACATTCAGTAATGGTAGCAGGCATCATCCAGTTCTTCTGGTCTCATGGCAAAGGAGGCAGTTGTTCATTGAGGCAATTAGCCACACATTCCATTTCCTCCTCCTATTCCTGACTCCTTCTTCCTGTGTTTCTCCAGGCAAATAGAGATCAGTTGTACCTCGGACGGCCACTTGCAAGCGTTTAAAACTGCAGGCACTACACAGCAAACTCGGATGTAGAACAGAAGCACTAAGCACAGTATTAGGCCAATTAATTGGGTTGTCTGATGAAGCCATGACCCTAACCCTCCAAACCAAGGAACCAAATCCCATGAGATGTTTGGTTGTCCTTGAGCAGCCTCAGCAGCTGCTCATTTTGTTGTTGTAAATGTACCCATCACACAACATTTGCCAATTCAACTTTTTACATATGTACAACTTCTTGTTGTTAGATGCCATGAAGTCGATTACGACTCACAGTGACCCTGTGTACAACAGAATGAAACACTGCCGAGTCCTTTGCCATCCTCACAATTGTTGTTATGTTTGAGCCCCTTGTTGCAGCCACTGTGTCAGTCCATCTCGTTGAGGGTCTTCCTCTTTTTCGCCGACCCTCTACCTTACCAAGTATGATGTCCTTCTCCGGGGACTGGTCCCTCCTGATAACTTGTCCAAAGTATGTGAGACGAAGTCACCCCATCCTCATTTCCAAGGAGCACTCTGGCTGTACTTCTTCCAAGACAGACTTGTTCGTTTTTCTGGCAGTCCGTGGTACATCCAGTATCTTCCCAACACCAAAATTCAAAGGCAGTAATTCTTCGGTCTTCCTTATTCATTGTCCAGCTTTTGCATGCATATCAGACAATTGAAAATACCATGGCTTGGGTCAGGTGCACCTTAGTCCTCAAAGTGACATCTTTGCTTTTCAACGCTTTAAAGAGGTCTTTTGCAGCGGATTTGCCCAATGTAATAACGTCATTTAATTTCTTGACTACTGCTTATGTGGATGTTGGTTTTGGATCCAAGTAAAATGAGACTCTTGACAACCTCAATTTTTTCTCCATTTATCATGATACTGCTTATTGGTCCAGTTGTGAGGATTTTGTTTTCTTTTATGTTGAGGTGTAATCCGTACTGAAGGCTGTAGTGTTTGATCTTCATCAGTAAATGCTTCAAGTCCTCTTCACTTTCAGCAAGCAAGGCTGGGTCATCTGCAAATTGCACGTTATTAATGGGTCTTCGACCAATTCTGATGCCAAGTTCTTCTTTGTATAGTCCAGCTTCTCGGATTATTTGCTCAGCATACAGATCGAATAAGTATGGTGAAGGGATGCAACCCTGTTGCACACCTTTCCTGATTTTAAACCATGCACTATTCCCTTGTTCTGTTCTCTTAGTCTATATACAGGTTCTACCACGTGTCTGTCAGTTTGTTGTACTGTGATTGCTTGTGTGTTGCTGTGATGCTGGAAGTTATGCCACCAATATTTAAAAATACCAGCAGGGTCACCCATGGTGGACAGGTTTCAGCGGAGCTTTCAGACTAAGACATGTACAACTATTGACATCAGTTACCTTAATCAATTGTTAAACCCTTACCCTTAATTATGCAATTTTTCCACCACCAAAAACCAAAGCTCAGTGTTCCATAAGCAATAACCCCTCCTTTCCCTCTCCCTCCTACTCCTCGTAACCACTAAGAAACTTTGGTCTATATACATTTGCCTTTTCTAGTCTTTTTATATGCTTGAGGTAATTCAATATTTGTCACTTTTGTGATTGAGTTATCTCTCAGCATAATTCTTCAAGCTCCATCCGTGTTGTAGCATGGATCAGGACTTCATTTCTTTTTCTGGCCAAGTAGTATGCCATTATACGTATGTGTCATATTTTGTTTATCCATTCAGTAGTTAATGGGCACTTAGGTTGTTTCCACCTTTTGGCCATTGCGAATAGTGCTGCAATGAACATTGATGTACATGTTTGTTTGTGTTGCTGCTTTCAAGTTCCCTGGGTATATTTCTAGCAGTGGGATTGCTGGGTCATACAATAGTTCTATTTTTAGTTTTTTTGAGGACCTGCCGCACTGTTTTCCACAATGGCTGTATCATTTTGCATTTCCACAGACAGTGGATAAAGGTTCTAATTTCCCCACATCCTTGCCAACATTTGTTGTTTTCCATTGTTTTTTTTGTTAATTTTAGCCATCAGCTGGTGGCACAGTGATTAAGAGCCCCAGCTGCTGACCAAAAAGTTGACATTTTGAATCCACTAGCTGCTCCTTTGAAACCCTATGGGTCAGTTCTACTCTGTCCTATAGGGTCGCTATGAGTCAGAATCAACTCAGCGGCAACAGGTTGGTTGGGGAGTAAAATAGTATCTCAATGTGGTTTTTATTTGCATCTTCCTGGTGGCTACTGACATTGAGCATCTTTTCTCATGTGTTTGGTGGCCATTTGAATATTCTCTTTGGTGAGTATTCAAGTCCTTTGCCTGTTTTATGATTGGGTTAATTGTCTTTTTGTTGTTAAGTTCTCAACATATATGTATGTTGAGTATTAGATTCTTATCAGATATATGGTTTCCAAAAATACTCTCCCAGTCAGTAGCTTGTCTTTTCACTTCTTTGTTTTTCAATTTTTTTCTTTTCTATTATACAAGTACTACACATTCATTATAGAAAAAGAATTTCAAAATACAGATAAACAAAAATAAATAAAATTTTCCATAATCTCGCCACCAGTAATAACCAGTATTAACATTTATTGGAAATTCTTTTTACTTTTTTTGGTACAGTCTTTGGATGAACAAATTTTCTTATTTTTATGAGGTCTCATTTATTTATTTTGTATTTTGCTGTTTGTGCTTTTGTTATTATACTTTCTCCTCAGTTGTTGACTATCTTATCTTTCATTTCACATTTACAGTAGTAAAAAATCTACTATCCGACTATTTTGCACATTAATGATGTAAGTCTGCCAGTAACAAATGCCAAGGTTCAAGGTGAGAGTAACTCTGGCTTTGATGGTTAAGGTTTTGCGTCATCTTGGCTGGGCCATGATTCTCAGCGGTTTGGCAGTTGTCTTAGGCTGGGTTCTCTAGAGAAGCAACACCAGTAAAGCATATAAATATATATAGAGAGAGATTTATATCAAGGAAGTACTCACACAGTTGTAGAGGCTGGAAAGTCCCAAGTCTGTGAGTCAGGCTGGAGGCCTCTCCTGACTCACATATCTGCAGAGGCTGGTGAACTCAAGATCGGCAGGTTAAACAGCAGGCCTCTGGCTCACAGGCTGCAGAGACCAACAAATCCCAAGATGGAGAGAAAAGATGGCAGGTCATCTGCTAGCTCAAGTCCCAAGAACCAGAGGTTGGATGAACAGGAGCCAGCTGCAGGATCCAGAGCAAGCAAAAGCTCACGAGTCTTGCCAGAAAGTCCACCTATATTGGATTCTGGCCATACCCCCAATGAAACTCCCT